AACAGAAAGCGGCGCTCAACTCTTTGAACAGTCACGAAACCAAGTCAAACGGTGATTGAGCTCACAATACAAATGAAAAACAGTTATGAGCTATGCTCATTCACCAATCTATCAACTTTTCGCAATGCAATTGTGCTCTGAATACCGTCCGGGTTGTAATCGTCCGTGTGACGCGGATCATACAGCAACAATAGCTAACACGGGTTGTAAAGACAACAAACGTTGTTGCCAATCTGGTTATCAATTTCGCGGGTATGACCGGCTACAAATCTGAAGTTTCAAACGAAGCTTCATTATTCATGTGCGAAGATTTGAGAGACAAACAAGTGTTAATAGTAAAGGGTGTGAGAAAAACATGGACCAAGTTTAAGAACGATCATTCACATTGGAATTTTGATACGACTAACCTTAATGAGAACGAGTTAAATAGATTAGCGGGAAGTATGCAACGATATGACAGAAGATTGGTAAAGAATTATACCAAAGCCATGGAATGGAATATATAATGCACAACTCAAATCCAGCAGGAACTATACCATATCATTTTATTTTATTATTAGATGTCTCAAGTTCAATGAAAGGCAAGCCTTGATTTGATTTGATTGATGCTGTCGGCGTATTGTATTCGATTGCGCAAGGAGGCAAATACGGACGATCGAGTTACAATCCTTGTCTTCGCTGATTACGCGACGCGAATTTATATGAATCAGGAATTAAAGGGTGTCGATGTTATCAGAATACGACGTCTAGGTAAATGGACTAAATTCTCCGAGGCGTTCAGTTATGTTTTACGAGTTATTCAACAATTGCAGCAAGATCTCAGTTACAAGAAGTTTCAAAATGTGATTATTCTTATGAGTGATAGAGAAGCAAATTATTCAGATTCAGAATTAAACACATTACGTACTATATATCGTGGTGCTATAGCTAAATTTTGGACAGTTGTTCTGGGTGCAAAAATGTGTTATCATTAGTAAATAAAATCATGCATGGTGAATACAAAAATATAAAAGAATCGTGCGATTTGGTTCAAGCTTATATTGACATTGCTCAAAATAATTAGATGTGACCGCTCGTGTTCGAACATAAATATTTATCTCGGAAAGGTCAGAAGTTTACTGCCATATTTTTTTAAGCGTTAAAACTACTTAAGCCCATTTTTGAATTCAAACGAAACGAGAGCTAATGTAGATGAATAAAAAAACTAGTAATATGAGACATTTTCTTAATTTTTATTATCTTTATTTACTTTTTTATTGATATTTTTAACGTATATGTGAACAAGAATATATATTCAAGAATAAAAAATATGTACTAGTGATTACAATCTTAATCAGCTAACAAAAATTTATCAGACTGATCAAACTATAAAAGCTAAAAGACTGTTAGTTCAGGCGGTACCTTGCAATTTTTCTCTACTTAGACGGCAGTCAAGACTTTTTGGTAATATCTCAAAGTTATGAATTGGGAAAGCTCGTAAATAAAGGAATGAAAAATTTCATATACAGTTTCTACTTGATTTTTTGTGTCTGAGTGAATAGATGAGTTTCAAAACAGCATCAAGATCCCCGAAAACGACTAGTACGTTTAATATAACTAATAAGAGCGAAGTATACATCTCTCAGTTGTGACAGTGGAAGAGTAGCCTTACATGGATCACGCAATAAAATATGATCGGTAGTAACCTTATTGTTATTTAAAACTGTTTGTTAGAACATGGAATAATATGCGAGGCTTATTGTGTAGCAAACAATGTAAGAACAGTGGGCTACAGTTTCATAAAGTCATAAGCACGGTAGGAGACGGTATCCGTGAGCGTGCATATAGATCAGCATTCAACTGCCTAGAATTCAGTCGGCATCTTGCAAAGTCAGTGTCAAATATGCGCTCATTAGATATTATAATTAGTTTAAGTTTAAAAAAATAACCATGATTAGAGAATTGCTGGAACATTAGTTTGGCTTTAAACTTTTTCGGATTCCGCACAGAGCACAAATTAGCCGTTAGTTCATTTCATAACTGCGATGCGCTCCTTATAAAAGAGGTATTTAGAGCATGTATACCTTTTCGAAAAGCAGGAATTTTATTCTGATTACGTGACTTTTTAATTGGGATTGATGATATAATTTTAATCTCGTGTCTCGTTGAAGTGCAGGAAACATTTGGCATCAAGGTCTAAGAATTTCAAAATTTGCTCGGTTCATCACCAATCAATATTGATTTTGGAGACAAGCCGCTGTGCATATGTGCGCTAGATCGAATTGGTTCAAGATGTCAAATTCAATTGAATAATACTTGTAATAAAGGGAATTTTTCGTGTTTTAATAACGGTAAATGTGTTGGTATCGGCGATGAACGCGAATCCCAAATATCAGATAAATATGTATGTCTATGTGATGAAAAATATCGCGGTTCCAGATGTGAAGAGACCAGTTCCGTACTCACTATTTCTATCAACATAACGACACTGTTAAAGACAAATTCCGTTGCTATCGTATATTTGTGTTATATCACAGGTAAGGAAGATAAAAATGGAATAAAAACGATGACTTGTCATCGTTTATTTTTCCAAGATATAATCGTTTCCAAGCTGCCAAAAATTTATGCAGATCTTCCTCACAAATACTTCGTACAGCTCTTTTTTAACTCAAGTGAACAATACGGATCTTGTTATGTCGCCGAGATATTATCATCGGCTAATGATACAGCAATTGTACAGGATAAAACCATCTGTCCTAATGTAAAGACGATACTTAACGAAACGATCTTCAACTATCCATATTTGAAACGTATTAAATATTATCAGATACCATGTCACACAAATTTAAAATTGGTATGCTTCTTCGACGAGACATACATGTGCATATGTGACAAACGGCGAACAACACAATGCATGATGTTCAATCATAACAAACATCGTTGTACGAAAGTACACTATTGCGATAATGATAGTCTTTGCATAAGAGATAATGACCAAAATCCATTGAATTATGCATGTATTTGTAGGCCATGCTATTACGGACAATTATGTCAGTTTACAATATCGGATTACACCATATCAATGGATGCGCTTATCGGTTTACAAATACAGTTGCATCAGTCAATTATGAAACAACCATTTATTATTCAATTTTGTTTTGCAACGGTCCTAGTCATGTTTGGTATTGGATGCATTTTGAATACTTTAACTATTTTAACTTTTATCCAACGAAGATGTCGGAAGGTCGGCTGTGGTATTTATATTCTTCTATCGTCGTGCACTGGTCAACTAAGCCTACTAACATTGATAGTGGAAATGTTTACACTTCTGTCGTCACACATGAATAGTAACAGATATCTATGTATTATATTAGAATATCTTCTTCGATTATTGCCTACTCTATGTGACTATCTAAATGCCTGTGTATCGATCGAACGTGCCTTTAGTGTAATCAAAGGTCCGAAATTCAATAAGAAAGCAAGTAGAAAACTAGCTCGATATGTCACCGTTTTAATCCTTGTAATCAATGCAGCCAGTGTCATACACGATCCGTTCCATCGACCTATTGTCGATTATTCAGGTTTAAACGGACGTCAATGGTGCGTGGCTAGGTACAGAGGAATACTAAGAAATTACAATTACCTTTACCTCGACTTATACTTTCATTGTTATTCAGTTGTGTAACAGAAATATCATGGCACACACATCTATTATTAATCAGCTGTTTTATTTCATTTATACCACAAGTGGCTACGCATACAATATTTGTCGTACCATCAAAAATGTATACAGCAGAATTAGAAAACGCGTTACAACATCTATATGGAAAACTTTGGAAACATAAATAACATAAAACGGCAACTGCAGACAAAAACAGTAAACAAAACTATTGCTGAAAATGATCATATGCCTATTTAACAATAGAAATAATTATTAAGAATAAGTTCTTGAGTAACTGATATGATCTTGTAAGTATACGCCCTCAGAATTCGTCGACTTTTATATATGTTAGAGATTGGTGATGAACCGAGCAAATTTTGAAATTCTTAGACCTTGATGCCAAATGTTTCCTGCACTTCAACGAGACACGAGATTAAAATTATATCATCAATCCCAATTAAAAAGTCACGTAATCAGAATAAAATTCCTGCTTTTCGAAAAGGTATACATGCTCTAAATACCTCTTTTATAAGGAGCGCATCGCAGTTATGAAATGAACTAACGGCTAATTTGTGCTCTGTGCGGAATCCGAAAAAGTTTAAAGCCAAACTAATGTTCCAGCAATTCTCTAATCATTGCGAAAAGTTGATAGATTGGTGAATGAGCATAGCTCATAACTGTTTTTCATTTGTATTGTGAGCTCAATCACCGTTTGACTTGGTTTCGTGACTGTTCAAAGAGTTGAGCGCCGCTTTCTGTTAAGAGATAACTCTTTTGATTAAATGAAAACTGTCTGATAATTGCATCACCAACAAGATAATTCGATAAAAGGAGAGCCTGCAACGATCTTTATTGGTCAAATTCTCGTTGGTTGTACCTTGTAATGATTGAAATATATCATCGATAAATTGTATTGGTGGCGTTTGGTTTTAACACAATCATGAATGTGTTGTAGAGTGTTAAAAAGTTCGTCAAATGTTACAAGATGATCGGCCTTTAAATCATTAGGTCGCTGATTGGTGGTTGTTTCAACATCTTCCCATAACTGTTTCAATTGTTCTTCGATAATACGAGTTGGATTATGGATATAGTGCAGTAGCCAACTCGAATCTTTCGTCAACAAAGCGTTATCGCAAAGCTCTTGAACGGCTTTTGAAATGTTTATTAGCATCTACGACTTCGTCAATGACTTTTTCTGCTTTTCGAAGTAGCATATCAAAAGAAATTTTCAAAGTTTGTTTTTCAAAATTAATCGCCAAATTTTCGTCATATGATGTGTCTTGAACAACTAACCAAACAAAGTAGTCGCAAAGACTATCTTGCTGATCACATACGGTGAATACAAGAGTTTGAAAATGAGATTGTTGTTCATCATAATAAAATTTTGTTAGCAGAACGATAACATAAGTATGAAATAAAGATTTAAACCGCTGTGACAAAGATAAACTGAACCATTTCAATTCCAAATTGATATCTGTGATTAGACCATTGACAATAGTAACAGTGATGGTCAATCCTTCGGTTCCCCGGGGAATTATCATGATCCGGTTCACAGTTCCTGGATAGGTTAGAAATTTCTATCGCTCAGTTCTTGGATGGCCCACAGAAGCACATCAGCCACGATGTTCATATGACAACTTGCCATCTAATCAACCACATTCTGTTTTTTGGACTTGAAATAATTAAGACCCTGTTCTTTATTTTCTGAGAATGCGTTTCTCTCACTTAACGCGTTCTTACTGAATCACTCGAACGCGCTGTTAAAGAACGGACTCTTCTAAATGCGTTCTTGTTGAACGTACGAACGCGTCCTTTTTGAACTGTTCAAACGAGTTCTCACAGTCTTAGAACGTAATCGCTGTTGAAACGCATTCGAGCGCGTTCTTATCGATTAGGAACGCATTCAATGCGAACACGTTTGCCTTGAGAAGAAACGTGGTTGTCTTTACTAGGAACGTGTTCTTGACCATTATTTTTTATATATTTTTTTTATGAGTGGAATAAAGCACTGAAACTTTTCGACATCACTGCTTCACTATCCCTAGTGTCACACATGGTCATTTGCTGGCCACTCCCTCTCTAGATGATGACCAAGCAACATGTGAACTGTCCCAAAAGGAAGAATAATTGTATGTACTGCAATTTCGACTTTTAAAACATGGTGACTTTTTTTTGATTGTGTATGGCGAAATGTTATGGATATTATGTACCTCAAAAACATTTGGTTATCCAAAATTATTAGAACCGATAATGTATGAATTAATTCAGCTGCGTAAGGGAGTAATATTTTTGATAAATGGAGTACAAACAAAATTATCGGGTGACATGTCCATAGGTCATCCTTTTCTAAATTGATACATCTGCATAAAATCAATAATATAATTTCCTAATTCAACCATTTTCTCGTTATTCTGATATTCTCGTTCGATCAAATCAATTTCTAAATCCGAATAACGTTGCCATCCTTTCGTCTGTTGTTCATTCCAGGGATCTGAATTTGACTGCCACGACCACATGATTCTGGTGTTGGTTGGTAGCAGTTCTGCCATCTCCCACTGACTGAAAGATCTTCAAAGAAAGCGGTCACAGGAAAGGAATTCGGGTGACGTTTGTGTGGCATACGTAGTCGAATCGGAGCATGGCTGCTTTTACCTTCCCGTTAACTATCTTATTCTGAACGTCACTACCTTTCTTTTACTTGTGTCTCCTACGGAGCTGCGTTTGGCGGAGGGCTATTGGTAATCTTTGATTCGATACAAAGTTATCTAACAGGCCGAAAGATGTCGAAAAGGAGAGAGAAAGAAACATGTTATTTCTTCATGAGAATGACGAACGGAGTACAGGTAAAATGTGTCTACCTATGTTACTCTTACTATTCGATCACTTTTCTTTTCTTTAATGCCCATGAATTTCCTTGGACTCTCGCTGTTGACATTTCGCTCTATTCTTTTTTTTCACCCACACACGCGCATGTTTCTTACTTTCATTCGAGATTCATTTCTTGAAGAGTATTGATACTTTCGTGTTTCGTGTTGCTCCGTTTACTTCTGCTTTCTTTGAAGATCTTTCAGTCAGTGGGAGATGGCAGAACTGCTGCCAACCAACACCAGAATCATGTGGTCGTGGCAGTCAAATTCAGATCCCTGGAATGAACAACAGACGAAAGAATGGCAACGTTATTCGGATTTAGAAATTGATTTGATCGAACGAGAATATCAGAATAACGAGAAAATGGTTGAATTAGGAGATTATGTTATTGATTTTATACAGATGTATCAATTTAGAAAAGGATCTGAACATCGGCAGAGGCGAGTAAAGCGAGAAATGGTGGATGTGACTCATTATTTGAGAGAAGAACGCTTTTGTTTCACAGAAGAACCAAAGATTGCAAAATCATTTGCAGCTGATGTTACTTTGTTTGAATTTGGTGCTGAATGGCGAAAAAGAAACAAAGAAATTGCACCTCATGATAAATTCTATTATCCACAAATAGTTGAACAAGCTATTAAAAGTAATCATCTCCCTCCCTTTCTTTATGCATTCATTATTGTGACTTTTCGATCCGAATAGGTATTTTACACGAAGGCCAGTTATTAAACAAAGAATTTGAAGCTAAATTGATTGCTGATCAATTAAGCCAAGTAAAAGATAAGGAACAGTGGGAAATTGAAGAATGTTGCGTTCGTCTCTATTCGATGGAAAGTTTCTTGTACAAGTTACTTAATACATCGATGAGAATTTGACCAAAATTGATACATTAGGAGCATACTGGTTGCTATTATCAGGCCATTTATACACTTCAGGAGCTTTAGAACTGACTGTCTATCGTGACTGTAACTAATGAAATGATTGACGAATATAAAAAGGCCGTCGGTTCTAAAATTAAATGGTTATCATTTACATCGACATCAAAATCACCTCAACAAGCAGAAAAATTTGGAAATACATTATTGATTATACATATTAGTGGGACGTACTGGAAAAAAGATATTTCACCCTTGTCATATTATCCACATGAAGAAGAAGTACTACTCCCAGCTGAATTCATCATGCACGTGGATAAAGTTGAATATGATGACAAGAAGAAAAAATATTTAATTTATCTTTCAGATTCATTATATCATTCGCACTGAACTATTTGAGACATCAGAATTACTAGAACTAGCATCACTCAGCAGCAACAATTTCTTACCTTCTGTTCGTGATGTTGATACAGTTCTATATCGTTTAGTAAGTGTTTGCGTTTTCAAATCAGTCAAACTTTGAAAACCTTGAAAAGAAGTGAAACTACAATTAATTGGGATAGAAAAGAGACTACAGCAAATTAATTGGGATACAAAAAAAGAGAATGCATTGTAAATTAAAAATGTTTAATTTTTACTATTTTCTCAATTACCAAACATATCACTATACGGTTTCTGTGGTGTAGTGATACACTGTATGTCATGATATGCATACAGATATTCAAACACAATTTGTAAGTGGTTTTCACAGATTTCGATCTTTCTTCACTGCCATACTTTTTTCTCATTTAGCAATTATTAAAACAAAACGATGTTTACATAATAGCAGAAAAACGCTTGGCAAAATCTGTATATACTCATTAACTAAAAAAAGAATAGCAGCAACACTACTTCTATGACCACCACCAGCACCATCAACAATGATTATAAAAAGTTCGTTTTTCCTTTTCTCCGTGTCAGAGAGTTATTTTTAGAATTTTTTGTAGTTATGTAGGTTCTTAAATTAAAAAATACTAGTGCGATATTAAAAAGAAATTAAAACATGTTACTCCTTTCTTTTTTTTAGTGTCAAAGGTTTAAAATAGACGACTCGTAATACGCGAACGTTCATTAATGTAAGATAGCACACAGTGTGTAAAAACTATTTAAAAAGAGTTGTAGCTGCAACCGCGACATAAATTAAGAAACTTTTCTGAGATCTGCCATTGAATTTGACCAAAAATAATTTATGCGATGACTTTTTCTCACTGAATTAATTTAGCGACGCTTGAAAAAAAGAACTCTTTGACTTTAGGAACCAGGTTTTTCAGTCTTTCTAACTTACTCCGTCTTCCTTTTATATGTTATAGATGGACTACACCACGATGATAAAAGACGGAGAGAGAGAGACGAGAGCAAGGTCAACGATACGTATCTTTATCGTCTAGTAGCAGCAGTCCTGATGAGTGGAACTACGGCGTTTTTGAACAAGAAAATGATGATGTCGAATCTAACCAAAATTATGTACCAGATAACAACGAAGCCAACGTCGATCGTCCACCATCAGATCTCCTAGCGTACCAAAATGACAAAAACAATTTTTACCATTGAAGAAGATGATTTATTGAACGATAATTCTAAATATTTATATGAAAATTTAACTTATCGTATAAAACAAGCTAAGCTGAAAAAAAACATCAAGTCAAATATAGTACAGAAAAGAATATATACGTACATGTTCATTCTGTTATACGATAGTTCTATATTATTTTCCTCAGGCATATTGAATAATACTGTTGTCAATTTTCTCTCCAATTAAATTACCGCTGAATTTTGATGACTTCCCTTAGTGTCCAAAACTTGTCTATTTTGGAGTTTTGACCCACTCTTTTAAGACCAGAACTTAAAATGAAAGCCAAACGAAGCGCTAAACAATTATATTTGTGCAAAAAAAATTATATTTTACAGCAGCTATAGCATTTGTTAATGTAGATTCAGTTATCAACGGTTATGAGTGATGATGGAGAGTGGAGGAAGAAAAACTTTTTAAACGATGCGCTGCAGGTTATTATTTATTTAATCGAAACGTTTTGTTTCATCTATATAGATAATAACTTCCGTCAGAATACTGCGCATAAAATTATCATCAAAATTTAAGTCATTGAGTAGTAATACGTCCACACTGAGGTTAGAAAGAAAGTTCAATTTATTGCGCAACACTGTACGTTCAG